CCCCAAAACCCCAAAACCCCAAAACCCCAAAACCCCTTTGCACCATATAGAATAAAGAGAATTTTTAAATAGTGGCGTGACAAAAATGGAAATACCCCGCTTATTAGCTACAAATCGAACGACCTCTGACCCTTGAGTTTCATGAAATACATGTTGCATTGATAACAAATGTGCTACTCAAAGAGAGTGAGACAAAGGTTCTCTTGTCGGATATGTAAGATTCTTTCTAAATAATCTATCGTGAAATATTTATCAACATATCCCATTTTTCAATGAGAATGACTCTATAGATAATCCTAGGAACCTTCATTGGAGTCATCGTGATCCTAATTATAATTATGTTACTCATAAAATGTAAATAAGGAATACAGGAAGTTTCAAATTGCAGAACGAGATTATAAGCGCAAATAAGCAATTTGAACAAATGCTTGAAAAATGATGTATAATTAAAGGAATTCCTCATCCTGATAAGTTGCCACCGTTTAAGAACTGTAGTCCAGGGCTAATACCTGCCTCTATTGATGAGATAAGGTAATTTTGAGCCTAAAATTTAGTATATCTAACTCCAACATTTATAAATCAAAGGCTTTTGATTTTCCTTCACGAAGAAAAGACCAGTACTTCACTGTCTATGATTTCAGAGATGGACGGATGCAAAAAACCAAGTCTATTAGAGATCAAAATGTCGTTATTAATATCGAACAAATTAACATTGGGTTAGATGGTGATACACTCAGATCATTGCAAGATAAAACTTCCTTGAGTAATATTTCAAGACATACAGAATCATATATCTCATCGATCTCTAAAAGTAACCTTTACACTAGTCAGGATCTGAGGTCAGATCCTGGTAATGGCGGAGATGGCACAGAGGAAAGGAAAAATGATATTTATTCCTTCAACGACTCAATCTCAGAAATCCCTGCTTCCTCTGATAGGCTTTCCCAGCTCACTCCAAAGGAATCTCAGGGAAACTAAAATTAATTAAGTATTTTCAATTAGAAATTTATTTTCAGGGGTTTTGGGGTTTTGGGGTTTTGGGGTTTTGGGG